TTTACACAGACATATGCTTTCAATTCACAATGGGGATTTGGAACCAAATTTTCCCCAACTGCAGTGCTACCTACTACAAAGCTTCGTGGTCTTAAGTATCTAAACTTTATTCATAGGAGAGTGGTAGCAGGTGCTACAGTGTTCCTCCTATATCCACTCAGATCTCTTTTCCATTTTCTTACGCACTGATATTTTCAAAATCCCGCAAATGTGTCTCTTTGTTGGAGAGCTGCTCTTGGGTTGCTGGAACACACTTTGCCTGCTTAAAAAGAGAGCCAAACTCTTTTAGGTCTTTGGACCTACGCTGTCTCCCAAATTCCCTACAGGATTGAACCAAAGTTACTCTTGCTTGAGTTCCCCACAGACTGTGCTTGAGTCTCACCCTTGCCTTGCTTCCTTGCCTTCCTGAAGTTATTTCTCCATTGTCCTCTAGTTTTCCCCTGGGGACACTCCTAATCACTTTCACACTGATCTTTGTTTCAGAGTTTGCTTCTGAAGCATATTTGACACAATTCCAAGAGCTTCAGCACAACATAAACAGAAAATTAGGAGATAGGAATGCTTCTAGAGGCCCACTTACAACAGTGAGAACCGGGAGCTGATAACCATAATGCAAGGGAGGAAACAGAAGCACTATAAAAAGCAAACATAAATAATGGAAAAACCACATCAATCTGGAATTTAACTGCCCTTCATTTCTCAGAAGTCCTTAAGGTCATTACCATGTTCAATGTAATAATCAGTGTTCACAGTGATGACTCTGAATTACCAAAGAAAATTGAATTCTATCCAGAAAAAAAGGCACGTATGTGTATAATGCATTTTAGAAAGCTTTACATCATAAATATGAGATACTGAATATACATTTGACAGTTTCCTCACAACACTCTACTAAAATGACAGTAAATGGGGGGGACCCTATAATCCCATGAAGGCAAGAATAGTGATAATAATGAAAAAATGGAAAGCTAAGTGCTTGTTGTGAGATTGGGAGTAGAGACGAACAGTGCCTAAGAGATGAGTTTATTTGTATTGCAGAGCTCTAGAAAAACTCTCAAAATAGGAGGCACCAAGCATCTCTCAAGACCAGCTATAGATAGGAGCAAAATATGGGAGATTTGGTTGAAAATCAATTTAAGAAGCTTTAGACCTGCTGTAAACCAACAGAAGATAGGTGATGTATTCTCCAGAGTAGCTGAATGTAAGGGACTCTGGAATTGGGGACATCAGGCCCACATAAGAACAAAGGTGCACGTTTTTCAGTATGTTTTCAAGAGGATTAACTGTAAATCTACCTATTGATCACTGAGACCTCCAGCTTCCTTCCTTAAGTAGCCGGACTTATTTCCTATCCCCACTCTCACCCAGCCTCAGTACTCCAAGCAGGAAAACAGATTCCTCTCCTTGGAAAACCTACACAAGAGAAAAAAACTGTAGATACTGTGGTAGGGGAGATAACCCTATTTCATCAACCAGACCTCTGCTCACTCTACAGTGAAACCCATAACTTGACAAGCTCAGTCAAAAAAAATTCACTGAGCTTTTTTTTTTAGTACTTCATTGTCAGATATGAATGGTCAGTCAAGAATTACCAGACATTTGAGGAAAACAGACCAATGCAAATAGAAAAGAAGCAAACTGGGAAAAACAAAATAGAGAGCAGAACAACACTTCAAAAAAAATAACCATTCATATTCTCACAAATAAGAGATGCTGCAGCCTATGAGAGAGTAATAGTAGGCTCTGAAAAAGGGAAATTCGGAGAAAAAAAGTTTTTGGAAAATAAAAAATGAAAGTAGAAATTTAAAATCCAGCAGGATAATTGGAACATAAATTTGATGAAATTGCCCAGCATATAGAGCAGATGATGAAAAGTGGAAGAGAAAAAGTAAGATCAATCCCGTTAGTCCAACAGTGAACAAATAGGGGTTCTTATAAGGAATACATAGAAAAAAATGAAGGGGAAGATATTATCTAAGATACAAGGAAATTTCTCAGAACATAGAAAAAAATGAAGGGGAAGATATTATCTAAGATATAAGGAAATTTCTCAGAACCAAAGGACACGACTTTCTAAATCGAAAGGATCCAGTGAATAGCCAGTACAAGAAATGAAAAATTTTAGAACAGTGGGTATAGACAGGATCTTAGAAACTTCTTAAGAGGCTAAACATAAAACATGCAGAGACTGGAAATCTAAATAGCATCAAACTTCTTAGCAATAGCGGAAGCTAGAAGACAATGGAAAATGTCTTAACATTCTGAGAGAAAATAATGTCTAATCTAGAATTCTGCCCTTGCAAACTATGAATTAGATATAAGGCTAGACCCAAGGATATTTTTAAATTTGCAAGTCTCAAAAAACTTACTCTCTAACCTCACACCTACTAGAATGGCTAAAATGAATCAAACTTCTTAGCAATAGCGGAAGCTAGAAGACAATGGAAAATGTCTTAACATTCTGAGAGAAAATAATGTCTAATCTAGAATTCTGCCCTTGCAAACTATGAATTAGATATAAGGCTAGACCCAAGGATATTTTTAAATTTGCAAGTCTCAAAAAACTTACTCTCTAACCTCACACCTACTAGAATGGCTAAAATGAAAAAAAAAAAAAAAAAGATAAGTCCTAATGAGGATTCAGAGCAACTGATACTCATACACTGCTGGTAGAAATGCAAAATGACACCACAGCTTTGAAAATAGTTTGATAGTTTCTTAAAAAGTTAAACATACATTTAATATAGGACTCAACTGTTTCACTCTTAGGTATTTACCCAAGAGAAATGAAAATATATGTCCATGCAAAGACCTGTATGTGGTCTTTATTCATAATCACCCCAAACTGAGATTAGCCCAAAATATTCATCAACCAGTGACTGGATAGAGCAATTTTAAATAAAGAATTATACACGCAATAATGTAGATCAATCTAAAACACATCCATGCTGAATGAAAATAGCCAAGTACAAAAGATATCTGGATAAATACTGTGTGAGTGTATTTATATGCCATTCTGGAAAAGGCAAACCTGTAAGGGACAGAAATCAGATTAATGGTTGTTCCAGAGCTAGAAGTGAGAGAAGGGATTGACTGCAAAGGGGCACAAAGGAACTTTTTGGAGTGATGAAAATGTTGTACATCTTTATTGAGGTGGTGGTATGTGACTGAATATGTTTGTCAAAAGTCATTGAACTGTATAGCTGAAGAAGGCAGATTTTTCTGTTTGTAAATTAAACCTCATATAAATCTGACATTAAAAATAAGTTTATCCTCCAGGCCAGGCCCTCTTTCTCAGAAAACAACTGGAGGATCTACACCCCATCAAAACTAAGGAGTAAACCAAGGAAGGGGAGGACATGGGATTCAGGAAACAGAGAATCCATTACAGAAAAGAGGAATTCCCAAGATGAGGGTTCAATTTTATTCCAACAAATAGCCATGCAGGAGAACTAGAAAATGGCAATCATTCTAGAGTGGAACAAGAGGGAAAAAGGAAAAGATTGAAATTGATAGAATATTTTGGAGATGAATTGGTGATAGGCGCACAAGAAACAGAACAAACTAAAAAAAAAAAAGAAGTTATCTATTAGCTCCAGAGAATTATTTAGAAGTTGTTCAAGAAAGGGATTTAATCATTGTTCTCTGACTCAGCCATAAATGATATTTACAAACTTATATTAAGTAAAAACAGAATCGTGAAATAGTATTGAGAGCATGGGGAGATGGGGAGAGAGAGAATATCTGTGTATGCGTATGTGTGTTTGGTAGGTGACTAAAAAATATAATGCCAAATAAAACAGAAAAGTGAAAGTGATCACCTCTGGGGAGCAGGAATTAGGTTTAGGTTGGGGGTGTGGCATATTAATGGAAAAGATCGAAGAAAAGAGGGATAGAAAACAAAGGGAGACAGAGAAATAAAGGAGTAAAACAAAACAAACATTACTGTTCCTAAAACAAAACCAAATATAGTAGTTCTCTCTTATCTAAGGTTTTACTTACCACAGTTTATTACCCGCTGTCAACTATAGTCTGAAAATATTAAATGGAAAATTCCAGAAGTAAACAATTCATAAGTTTTAAATTGTGCACCATTCTGTGTAGAGTGATGAAATCTCGCACTGCCCTGTTCCTCGTGCCCTGGACAAGAATCTTCCCATTGTCCAGCATATTCACGCCATATATGCTCCCTGCTCATTCGTCATTTAGTAGCCATCTCAGTTATCAGATCAACTGTCACAGTATCACAGTGCTTGAGTTCAAGTAACCCTTATTTTACTTAATGTCTCATTCACCTCACTTCATCACGCAGGCATTTTATCATCTCACATCATCACAAGGAGAGCGAGTACAGTACAATAAGATATTGCATGAGAGACCACATTGACATGACTTTTATTACAGTATATTGTTATAATTGTTCTATTTTAATATTAGTTTTTGTTAATATCTTACTGTGCCTAATTTATAAATTAAACTATATCATAGGTATGTATGTGTAGGTAAAAACAGCATATATAGAATTTAGTACGATCCATAGTTTAAGGCATCCATTTGGGAGTCTTAGAATGTATACCCCATGGATAAGGGGGACTACTCTATACTAAAGAAAAGGAGTCAAGTTCAAGCTCTGCTTATCTGGGTTCTGAAATTAGCACATCATGGGAGAAGTGAGACTTCCTTCCATTGTCTTTTGTGGGCAGTCCTATATCAAGGTCTGTTGTGCTGTATAGGGAGGGAGAAAAAGGTTGTTACTTCTCTACAGAGAACCATGACTGGGAATCACAGACAACAAAGAGGTTCTGGTAAATAGGGTACTTTATGAAAGTACCCTATCCTCCCCCCCACCCCAGATTTTTCAAATATTATCTCTTAAAAAAGGTAAAAGTTATAGAAAACAATTTAAGGTCATTATTTGAAGAGTATCTTATTGAAAAGAGTGACATCATTTATGCACATTATCTACTTGTCAGCCCAATATGTAATTTTTTCTGTTCTAGCGTTCCTAGAATCCCATGGGCCTTTGCCATGACAGAAGTATGTGGCATGATTTTGTGCTATATTTGGCTCCTGGTTCTTCTTCTTCACAAGCACAGGTACCTCACCTATTTTGTTAAAAGACTGAAAGTGTTTTGACTATCTCGTGTAAAGGTCATCAAAGCTGTTTCTCCCTTTGCAGTTTCTTTGTTAATTTCCTTCTCTAGTCATTCTGGCATTATACTTATTCACATAGGAAAATGGGGTTTTATCAACAAAAGAGTCAGCCTAAGGTAATACCCACATATTTACTAATATTCTGAACGTATTTTGCAGGGAAATATCACAGCAATATTCGATCATGGGCCAACTATTGATGTCCTAGCCTCATCTTTCATTAGAAACAAAATGAAAATGTCACTATGTAGAAGGATAGAAACCCCTCCAAGGACAGTCTTTGGTCAGATGTTCAGATGGAAGAAATTGTTCTCTGCTTGGAGGAGGCCCATTAAAAAAAGAGATTATTTTGCACACACCATGCACACCTAGTCAGTGTGGTTTACTTCATATGGTATAGGAAATTGATGAAAAGGGAGAGTGTTTCTTTGGCACTTTCACCAAGAAATACAAAGGGAATAATTTTTTCTCATTAAAAAAAGAAGAGAAGCATAAAGGGAGGCTCTGTTCCTATTTTAATGAGGGGGAATTACTTGATTTAAATAAAAAATAAGGCATAGTGAAGAAAAAAAGAACTAGAAAGTATGGATCTGCTAGTCATTGTCTTTGGACACGGAAGAGGAATAGGGTTACTTTCTTGCATTTTTGATCTTTTCTCCTCACCAGGGAGTTCTTGAGGTAAAACCACGGTGATGGGCTTTAGATCCTAAGCAGCAGTTATTTTGGTGCTTTGAAGGTAAAGAGAAAGATTGATTGTTGCTATTCTTGTCACACTTTTAGGCCATATTGGACTTCATTCTCTCCTGTTTGCGGCAATATTTTTAATTGGATTGCTTAAAACCAGAGGTAGTTTAAAAAAAAAAAAAAAAAAAACTTGTATTACTGCTGCTTACTGGTATAACTTTGTCTTATAAGACTCCGTGGATTTGAATTTATTCATTCTTCAAAACAAGAGTTTACTTTATAAGAAACCTCGGTAGATTTAGCAAATCAGAGCTGTAGCCAGTTAAATGCAAATTTTGATGTTTAATTAGACAAAGAATTTCTCAAAGTGTGGTCTTTTTGCCACTTAAATTAGAATCACCTTGGTTGTGGTTAAATGCAGAATTCTAGGCTCCATCCCAGGTGTACACACTGAAGTTCGAAACATACCATAACCTTGTGTCCTTTGCTCTTTTTGAAGGTGGGATGAGCATTTGGAAAATATGTAAAGCATAGTCCCTGTACTTAAGAATAAGTCTGTTTTGGTTTAAGACATTTAAAAAAATAATAGAACAGTGCAAGTGATGTCACAATACAGTTCAAAATTTTTATTAGTAGCGATATACTTAATGTAAAACAGTATTTAAAAAACAGTATTTTATAGCTTAAGTTTAAGTTAGGAGAAGTTAGAGAATGTTTATTAGATAGCTACTATCATTAACAAACTTACAATGTTATAACAAACAAAAAAATCCCTACAATCACATTTAACTTTATACCTTTCAAAATAATTTATGAGCAACATATGAGTAATAGGACTAACACTGAGCTAAGAGTCAGGCTAGGTACTAATCTTCTCTTTTACATAACTCTTTTGCTTTCTCTTAGCCATATTTTCTTATGCTCTCTGATGCTCTTAGGTCTGCACAGTCCCACTTTACAGATGCTGGCCTCATGTGACTATTTAAATTTAAATTAGCGAAAATGAAATAAAATTAAAACTTGGCTCCTCATACTAGCCACATTGCCAGTGCTCAGGAGCCACATGTAGATAACTTGTTGAACAGTTCAATAGTGGAACATTTTCATCATTGCAGAAAGTTCTACTGGAAAATGATGCTTCAGATCGTCTCCAAAATTTCTGTCCTCTATAAAGAGTCTAGCGGTTTTCCTCCTTGCTTTCCCTTTAAGTAAGCATTTGATGCCTGGGGTGTTTTGGTTCGTTTTCTGCTGATCTTTCTCCCTTTTTGGTCGCTCTGTTCACAGGTCAATACTTCTGCGAAGGCTCTGTAGTCTGATGGGCACTGTGTTCTTGCTTCGCTGCTTTACCATGTTTGTGACCTCCCTCTCCGTGCCAGGACAGCATCTGCAGTGTACTGGAAAGGTAGCCTGCTAGCTTCTTTATCTTTCTTTCCTCTTGTTCTTGGTGGGTTGATGGCACCATATATGCAGTAGGGCTAAGACTTTCTTTTAATATTAAAATGTACTTCTCAATATTTTCAATATCTGTGATAAACCTCCAGAAATAATTTGGTAAAAATTTAAAGGCAGAATCTACCTCCCTGTTACTTCTATCTATTGATACTAGTTCTACACCATGGAGCTATAGAAAAAGTTTCTTTCAATTATCATTCTCCCTTTCCCACCATCCTCAGCATCTTTAGTTCCTCATATCACATGACTCTGTTCCCTTTACTGTCCTTATTCCATTTGACCATATTCCATTTAAAATATAGTACCCCCTACTCTTTCTGGGGTATACTAAATAATGGCTGATTTTTTGTTTTTGTTTTATACTTCGTAGCTTGTTTGGTACACTGTAGACATCTCTTCTGGTTAAATTGAAAAGAGAGATTACGTACATAGGAACAAAAGAACTGGGCAATGGATAACTTTAAAAAAATTAAAAAAAATAAAACAAAAACCCTGTACTTTATATACAAAATCGTAACTCGTTAAATTTGGACAGAAGAATTTATTAACCTACTTTTCTAAGCCTCCAGGATTTAATAATGTATTCCCAGACATTCAAATGTATCTATTAACACCTTTGTTATTTTAATGTTGTTTGTAAAGTGTGAAACAAAATTAAGTGTCAGTTCTTCTACTGCAATATAAATAGCTGAAATGCCAACAAGGGAAGGTTAAGCAGCCAAAGGAGATCAAGAGCTAAAAATACAGTCCTGAGCCGAAGGGTGACAAAAGTTTCTCCAGGTATTAGGAGACTGAACAGTAAGAAAGGGGGAAGGGTTATATGACATTTAGGATTTAGCATAAAAGAAATGTTATATTTTTAAGGTAAAAGCTGTTTTTTTAAAAAAATAAAGGTAATGTTTTATAATTATAAAGTTATTTGCCTATTAGAAATTTTCAAATTTTATGGAAATATGTAAATTAAAAAAATATATATAAATTAAAATAAAAGCTCATATAATTTCCTCTTCTTTCACCCTACCCCATAAATCAAACTGTTAACAATTGTGCATCCAGTCTCATAGGCTATTTTTAAGCATGCTTACACATTCAAATAAGTTTATATAGATAGATACTTTTTAAACAAAAGATAGGATTATACTGCAGGCATAGTTTTTTAGCTTATGTTTTATTTAATAGTATGTTGTTTACTTTTTTCTGAAGAAATACATATGTAGCTGTACCTCATCTTTTTAATAGCTGCAGAGTGTTCCATTGTATGATTTACCAGTCTCCAAGTGGTGTACATTTAGATTACTTCCAAATCTTACTATTTATAAATAATGCTTTCGTAAATATCTGTGTACATTTATACTTTTTCACTATTTAATCATCTCCTTAAGGTAAATTCTTAGAAGTGGAATTAGGAAATCAAAGAACACACACTTTAAAAATTGTGATATGTATTGCTCAGATGTCCATTAGAAAAGTCTAGTTTTCACTACTGCCAACAATGTAGGCACGCCAGTTTTCCTACCCCGCAGCCAGCACTACTTATCAATCTTTTGAGTCACTGCCATTCTGATTAATGAAAGATGATATCTGAGACTTTTATGGGTCTTATGTTTTATATTTGAATCTTTAATCTATTGAATTTATTTCTATACCTGGTGTGAAGTAAGGATAGAACAATTTCCCCAAATTGTATGCTAATTAGAAGAAATTTAAAAGAAGAAAAGTGTAAGCTTATTACACTGAAGAGTTTTTTGTAGCTAAAATATTTAATTGTGGGTAGCCACTAGAGAGAAAGATATATGTGCATAGGGCTGCAGCATGTGCTACAAAAATAAATTAGATATCATCTTTCTACAGTATGGACAGCCCTTTTTCTGTCGCTAATGACCATTTTTCATTACCGGTTAGTTATATATGGACATTTCTATTCAAATCTGCCCTAAATGCTGGTAATTGCTTTGACTTATAAGATAACCTACTTATTGACCTATATTATTTGCAGCAGTCATTAAAAATTGAAAGTTAAGGTGATCGTATAGCAATCAAATCCCTTACAGTGAACTTCCATAGGGCATTTTCATTGTCACAAATTAATTGCTTGAAATCTCATTCCTAGAAGTAGGAGGCTTGGGGATAGAACCAAGAATATGCTTGCTTTTGAAATTAAGTAATGGATTCACCTTAAGTAAAGAAATACTTAAAGCAAATTTCTACACCTTGTCGCATCAAAGCATCTTATCCATTCTGTTGTGTTACAGTTTCTATTTTTCTGGAAGAAAATTTGGGATATTTAAGATCATAAAGGATAGGGAGACTTGAGTAATTGAGCAATAATTGCTCTCTTTTGACTGGCATCACTTGTTTCTTGCCTTGGCTGAGACTTTCTCCTAGCAGTCTCTGTTCACTGCCTGATTTTTATACTTTAGTAAACATCTCTAACCCCATTCCCATTAGAGGTCATGGAAGAACCAAATCCCATATATTCTAGTTCCTTCTCTCCTTTTCTCTAATAATAAATTCATCTTCCTCTCCTGCCCTCAACTAAGGCAGAGACAAAAAGCCGTGTTGTGAATAAACAACAGGTGAGCTTTCTAATGAGATTGTGATATCCAGCGAGGATGTTTTGTTACCAGACAAGGAGTCCACCCATTACACATGCAGCAGAGCAGAACACCGAACAAATTGGAGCCGTTTATTGCCATGGCACCAAGCCAGGAAAATGGGAAGCTGTCGTGTTAAACCCAAACTCCCTGATGGCTTTTGATCAAAGGTTTTTAAAGGCAGAAATTGAGCTTTAGGGGTTAGGGGCTGAGGGTGAAGCTGATTGGTTAGTTCTTATGCACGCTTCAGTGGTTTTCCTTTCCTAACTCAGTTTCTGACATCATCTTTATCACTGTGATTGGGTGATCTAACTGGTTGAGGGACCAAGACTCTGCAAAATATCTCATAATTATTTGTCAATGATGTTAACTTTTTAAAAAAATAAATTTATTTATTTGAATTAGTTTCAAGTATATAATACATTGGTCAGACATCTATATTGTTCATAAAACAATTCCCTCAATTGCACCCTCCCTCCCCTGGCCCTCCACTTAGCCATCATATTAATACTAACTGCATTCCCTGTGCCGTGCTCCCCATCATCGTGCCCAACTATCAACTTCTAATTTGTACTTTTTTAATCCTACACCCCATTCTCCTAGCCCCGTGACCCCCTTTCCCTCTGTCTGTCATCAAATTGTCCACTATTTTTGTGAGTCTGTTTTTGACTAGTTTGTTCTTTTTCTTCCTCGGATTCCACATATAAGTGAAATCATATGGTATTTATCTTTCTCTGACTTATTTCACTCAGCATAATAACCTCTAGGTCCATCCATGTCATTGCAAATGGTAAAATTTTATCTAGTCATCTGTTGATGGACATTTAGGTTGCTTCCATATCTTGGCTATTGTAAATTGTGCTGCCATGAATATTGGAGTGCATAGATCTTTAGGAATTATTGTTTTGGTTTTCTTTGGATAAATACTCAGAAGTGCAATTGCTGGGTCAAAAGGTATATCCATGTTTAATTTTTTGGGAAACCTCCATACTGTTTTCCATAGTGGCTATACCAATTTGCAATCCCACCAACAATGTATGAGGGTTCCCTTTTCTCCACATCCTCGCCAACACTTGCTGTTTTTTGATTTATTGATGATAGCCATTCTGACAGGTGTGAGATAATATCTCATTGTGGTTTTAATTTGCATTTCTCTGATGATTAGCGATCTTGAGCGACTTTTTATATGTCTGTTAGCCATCTGTATTTCCTCTTTGGAGAAGTATCTGTTTAGGTCTTCTGCCCATTTTTTAATTGAATTGTTTGGTTTTTTGCTGTTTAGTAGTATAAGTTCTTATAAATTTTTGATATTAACCCCTTATCAGATGTATCATTAGTGAATATCTTCTCCCACACAGTCGGTTGTCTTTTTGTTTTATTGATGGTTTCCTTTGCTGTACAAAAACTTTTTAGTTTGAAGTAGTCCCATTTCTTTATTTTTTTCTTTTGTTTCCCTTGCCTGAGGAGATATATCTGAAAAGAAATTCCTATTAGTAATATCAGAGAGTTTACTGCCTATGTTTTCTTCTAAAAGTTTTATGGTTTTGGGTTTTACGTCTAAGTCTTTAATCCATTTTGAGTCTGTCTATTCTTGTATACGGTGTAAGAAGATGATCCAGCTTCTTTTTTTTACATGTATCTGTCCAATTTTCCCAACACCATTTATTGGAGAGACTGTATTCACTCCGTTGTATATTCTTACCTCCTTTGCGATATATTAAGTGAGTGTATAGGCGATTTCTGGGCTCTCTATTCTGTTCCATTGATCAATATATCTGTTTTTATGCCAGTACTATGCTGTTTTGATTACTGTAGTCTTGTAGTATAGTTTGATATCAGGTAGTGTGATACCTCCAACTTTGTTCTTTCTCAAGAGTGCCATGACTATTCGGGTTTTTTTATGGCTCCATATAAATTTTAGGATTATTCGTTCTAGCTCTCTCAAAAATGCCATTGGTATTTTGATAGAGATTGCATTGAATCTATAGATTGGTTTGGGTAGTATGGCCATTTTAACAATGTTGATTCTTCCTACCCATGAACAAGGTATATGCTTCCATTTATTTGTGTCTTCTTCAATTTCTTTTTTCAATGACTTATAATTTTCTGAAAACAGGTCTTTTACCTTCTTGGTTAATTTGATTCCCAGGTATTTTATAGTTTTAGAAGCAATTGTAAATGAGTTTTCTTAATTTGTCTTTCTGAAAGTCCATCATTGGTGTATAAAAATGCCACTGACTTCTGAATATTTATTTTGTAACCTGCCACTTTCCTGAATGAATTGATCAGTTCTAACAGTTTTTTGGTGGAATCTTTAGGGTTCTCTCTATATAGTATCATGTCATCAGCAAATAAC